CCCCAAAACCCCAAAACCCCAAAACCCCATTTCAGGTAAAGTTTATTGAAATACATCCTACTTTATGCTCGAATACGCCATTTCTTGGTTTAGCATACTTGCCTTTTTGTCATTTTGAGAAACTATTCCATGCCCCATTGATTTTCCGAATGGAGGAGGGGGAAGTGCATGCCCTCCTTTCATCTTCAATTGAAATAACCTTTGCTTTTGGCCAAGGATTTTTGTCTTATTGGCATAAATTTCATTTAGAATTGAGCTTTTCCCAAAATTTTTAGCTTTTCTCGGAAGAGACTGGGTAGAATCTTTCTTGTGCTCTCCAACTGCTTCACCCCAAGAATTTGGGTTTGTCAGAATATCAATATTAAATTTCTCATGTGTCGAGAGATTCATCATTCTTGCATTTTTATTCTGTTGATAATCAATCAGTCTATCTGCAATTCCAGAGTATTGAGAGCTTTCTGATCTTTTATTCTTTAATCTATCAGCAGATCCTTCAAGATAAGCAGCCATTTTTGAATGGTGACCCCTGAAACTACCTTGAACAGGGGCAGGAGATGTGAGTTTTGTAGCACTTGGAATTAACATACTCATGTTAAATCTTCTTCTGACAGATATTTTTTCATAATTTTCTCCTCCAATTATTGATTTATTGGCATTTTCATTACTAACATCTTTATCCTCCACAAGTAATTTTCTAAGTTTCTGGGATTTCAGTCTGATTGAAGGAAGAAAAGCAGTGTTATCAAGAGAATCATTTAATCCTAAATCTTCAATAGACGATCCTATGTGAGAAACCTCTAAGCTGGTTTGGTCCTGAGTCAATCTTCCTGTTCCAGGATTTTGGGCTCCGTGCATATCTCTGTAAGTTGAGATTAATTAAATGTACCTTTTAGAGGAATGTTGTGCAGTCTCAAAATTATCCGTCTTTACATTCTTATTCAAATTCATTCCATCTAATTTTTTATTCTTCTTTTCAAACTTTTTCAAGGTACGTTGACTTAAATTGTCAATTCCATTTTCAAAATACTGTTTTCTAGTAAGAGCCATATGAAGTCTTGGATTACTAACATAAGGAAGGGCTTTCACTTTGACCATTCCTGTGTAATCATCTCTTGAAGTAGTGATTCCTCTATCATTCTCACCTGAAGCATCAACGCTTTGATCGTTCCCAGATGTCATTTTGATATTCTTTCCAGTGATCCCTACTCCATAATTAGGCTTAATAGAGTCAGAGACTATCCTAACTGCATCTACCAGAGTTTTAGAGAAGTCAGTTCTTTTGGCGAGTCTACTACTCTTGCCCTTTGATAAATCTGGCTTAGCTTTAAGGTTCTCCTCTTTAGCCTTTAGTTTATCTTCTAATATCTTCTTATATTCTTCAATTATACGTGACCTGTCAGTTTTCTGAATAAGTAACTGATCCTGACCCTGTCTTTTCTCCATACCCTTTTTAAAGAATTTGGGAAGCGAATCTGCATTTACTCTCATTGGGTTAATCAGCTTGCCCTCATCATATGTCAAGAACTTCTGCTTGACTCTATTTTTACTCTTGTTCTCGTTTTTAGGCTCATTTCCTTTCTTCTGAGATTTCTTTTCCTAAAGATAATCTTTGAATTACCTTTTTGGCTCTTCGAGCCTTCATAATTCTAATTTTTCTATTATTTTTCATTTTGGATCCTTAGCTCGTCGATATGTTCCTCTGTAATCTATGATAGTCAAGTTAAGATGTACATTGTCACCATAGTCAAAGTCTTCAATTTCTTCAATTTCAATAGGCTTGTTCTTGCTCTTTTTCTTTCCATTAAAGCTTGACTAAAAAGTTAGAAAATCTTTACTCGTAAATTAGTAAGACTCCCTTTGATGCTAAGAGCTTTAGAGGAAACGCTCTGGTCATTTGCACTGTTTAGAGAATTTGTCTCATTCTGGTCCGCGTAGTTGTAAAATCCTACAGGTAAAGGTAACCCTTACATCCTTCTCCAGCCGGAACTAAAAAGTTCATTTGTGTTTCCAGCTTAACATTCTTTGTTTTGTGATTATCGATCATTGCTGGTTCAGGGATTGCTTGGTCAATCTCTGAAGGATTACCCACAGATATTACCTTCATTTGAAATGTATTTATCGTCTTGTTTCATATCTTGTGGGGTCATGCTAAGTTCAATGACTTTAACTAAACCATCAAAAATCCATTCGATTGAATAAATAGGGATTTTATTTTTGTAATTCCTAACAGAGTCATTTTACTAACTTACATTTTTAGAAATTTGGTCGGATGTCTTCTTCCAGATTTCTATTGTAATTTTTAAGAAAATTATTACCATCAATTATGAGATGGGAGATGTCATATGAGTTACTAGTATCTATTTTTAATTGTTGGATATCTTTCTCTAGCCTTTCTTGCTCTTCCTTCTCTTTCTTTTTCTTACTCATTTTAATAATTTTTATCAAATAAAATTATTTATAAGGGGTTTTGGGGTTTTGGGGTTTTGGGGAGAT